AAAACATCCTTTTTGGAAAAAAAAAAAAAAAAAAAAGAAATGGAAATATACAAATGCATGGAAAATAAGAAGGCAAACAGAACAGTTTAAAGAGAGCTACAAATGACAGCAATAAAAGGAAGAAATATGAATTTATTTCAATTGTATTTTAAACAGATGCTTTCTTGATTATAAAATATCCTGAAATAAATTACAGTGGAAGGATAGAGAATGAAAAATTTTAATTTTAATTTTATGAATTTGTAAATTATGACAGCAAAAAAATTTGAGTAACTTGGAATTTGAGACTAAGCAACACACTAGTTTATTCGTCAATAATGTATCATAAATGAAAAAGAAAACCGGCAAACAACTCAATATTATATCATATGAAAATGTCTTTTTAATTGTACAAAGATATAGATTTATAATTATATATTTATGTATGTAATATAATGGAACGAATTAAATTGTATATTTATGTAATAATTACAAATTTATACAATTTTTACAATAATTATATACAATAATTGTAAATTATTATACAATAATTTTAAATGTATTTAGTATGTTTTGTTGTCATCAGTATAAAAGGTTTCATTAATTTTTACATGTTTGTAAGGCAGTTTAGACTGTTTGGAGTATGTTAGAGTGAAGCCGGTCTATGTTCAATAATCAATCTTCTTGAAAAAGTTAAAGGTTAACAGATACATTGATCAATCGTTTTTGGGGTAGAGAAATGTTGAAAATAATAATGAAGTATATATATATATATATATATGTACACACACATGATAGCTAAGATAATTAATTGTACTACTAATTTCTATTAGTTCATTGAAAAGAACAGTTAGTGTTTACACTGTTTGATGAATCTTACATGCCTATATCTGGTAATCTGAGCAACTACTTTGAAGACAACAGTACGCAATATAATAACTATTGTTAATTTCCTACCATCTTGTTTTGAAATTCTGTATCATTTTTATTGTTTTTTTTATTATCTTCAAAATAAAAAAGAAAATAAACTCTGGTGCAGCCTAGTAATTTAAATACTGCATGTTTTTCTTACATTCGTGTTTTACATTAACAAGCCCCTGGTTTTAATAGGGATATTGCAAAAGGTTAATAAATAAGTTAAATCTATCTAAAAGAAGGGAGTATGGCAAATAAACAAAATTAAATATAAATTGTTGTCAAGAGTTACTGTTACTTCTTATCCTACTAAACATTATAAGATATATCAATTCAAGTTCCTTCATGAAAAGACCAAATATGAAAAGGAAAGAGCAAACCTTTGTTTAACAGGAAGTTTTTTTGAAATACAGATTGCATTTTTTAATCTTCAGATCATTACTGACATTTGCTAACATGAGCACATACTGGCAAAAATTGTAGCTTATATCTTATTGTGTTTTATTTGACTGCAATTTCTCATTTATTAAGCTAACAGCTTCTCCTAAGGTGAGTCCTGAGAGAAATTCTCTCATGGGAAGGGCAACTAAATGGTTAGGCAATGGTTAGGCAAACCCTCTACAAGATATTCAGTAGAGATTAATGGGCTCTGACTCATAATAGAGAAGGAGAAAGATAACAGAAAAATATTAATTGCTAAGCTTGTGAGACCTTGGGAAAGTTGAAAGGGCTCCTTGGTGGATAGGAGAACCAAAATTTTATACTGAACAAACATAGCTGCATACAAAAATTCAATCTTCCTGTTTATATATGGTATACACAAAGGGCTAGTCAGTAATCTTATTTGTATAGATTACAACCAAGGCTTTTAGAGTCTCTTTTCTTATTTTTACTCAAAATATGTCATGCTGGTATTAGAGGAAAGTTAATGCAGAGAGTAAGTAACAGTCAGTGGAAGTTGTAGAATCAAAATAGCAGCTATCATAGTAACACAGTCTAGCAAGAGCAGAGAGTCATGCCACCATCTGTGATTTCAAGTTACAGGAAGAGGGATGTTAAAAGATTCCAGCCACCTAGGACTTTCTCGAAGAGTGAAAGTCACAGAGGGTTTTGCTCACCAGGTACTAGAACCAAAATATATATTCAAAGAGAAAAAAAATTTTTCTCTTTGAAAAATTTTTCAGACCTCTTTAACTCTGTAATTGTGGTACAAAAGCAGCTTTGGCTATTACAAAATTAGGAAGTGCATAGACTATAGTTTTCAGTACACCACTCTAGAATATCAAACCACTCCGTAAGTAGAATTTTGAAAAAGAGAATCCTACAGAAAAATATTCAGGGCTTTCCATAATCATTTTCTGTAGATTTGTATAATTTTCAATTTTTGTTTTACTGGCTACTTACTAACAAAGGATTAGATTTACTTCGCTCTGTGTGGATGGCATGGTGAAAAATTGTGAAATATTTCAGTAATATTAAAACATAGTTGTATAATGACATCCAGTGAGTAGGTAGCATGTTGTCAAACGTTTTGATACACACAGGTACTGAGTTTTATTGAAACAAACACAGAGAAAGAGGGCAGGAAGTTTCTGAATAATAGAATAAAACATAAAATACTCATTTATGTAATTGGAAGAATCTTCAAATATGTATGCATCTAGTGCTTTTCAATCTTTCACTTATCCTAAATTTACTCATTTAGATGTTAACATAATGCTACACAAACCTTCTCATTTTTTACCAAGCAATGAAAGAAATTTCTGTTGCAAAAAGAGCCAAAAGTATAAGAAGTATTTCATAACAATGATGTCTTAAATATTCCTGTGTCTATTATGCATAAATCTATGCAAGAAGTTCCTTCTTCTTATTTGTTTCAGAAATTTATTTAACTTTTTATATTTTTGTTATGCTAATTTGTGTTATTTTTTAAACGGTTGATCTAGGGCAGTGATGGTAGAGAGCAAGTGCCCAAAAGGCAACCCAAAACTCACTTGTTTATAGCAAAGTGCCAGCACTGCAACTGAACTTGATTACTGAGGTTTTAGTTAGGAAAAACACCTTGTACATTCGGATCCTTTGTCTTAGTTTTTTTTTTTTTTTTTTTTTTTTTTT